ATTGCCGCCCTTCCTTTTCAAAAAACCTTACGAAATATCATCCGACTCAAAAATACTTCATCAGACCAGGGTACACCTCGGAGAGGAGATCTCTCCAGGGACCGCCGGTCACTCTAGCAAATTTAGCTAGAGCATTGAGAGAGACCTCCGGGGGATATCCCCGGAGGCGAGATTCCAAAATTGTCGCAGAGATTGCCGTCAAGGCTGCTTCTTCAGATGTTGCCAACCTACTGTACCTGAGGAAGCTGGCTAAAAGTGTGGATCTCTTAGTTGCTTTCTTCGAAAACGATATGAAATCCTGCATCAAATGCACTCGCAAAACCCCATCGTTAATCAATGACAATTGGTTACTTGAACGTGGAAAAATATGGAACTCCAGAGGGTGAAGTGAGACTACCACACGTGTTCCTAGAAAATCGAAAATGTTGCAGCCTTCATCCTTTCTTACTAATTTCAAATTCTGATCATAGCAGTCCTCAAATTTCTCTAAAATTTCCACAGCCTTGATGTGTGAGTCGTCATCATTCAAATCACAAGCCACAAAGATAGATACATCATCTATCATTCGGACACCACTCACCAAAGCGCAATCTCTGCCTAGACTGCATAGGAATTCGTTCTCCGCCCGAGCACAAACTAGGCACGCTAGTGCAGGGCTCGAACTTCGCCCCATTGGAATCCCAAATTGCTGTCTCAGAATAGCACCTGCGGACTGGATATAGGTGTGATCCAATTCGTACTTCACCCCTCTTTCGATCTGACCAAACGTCATAAGTACGAAGCCTTCTTGTTTCTTCCTGACCCTAGCCATGGCACATATCTTCCCCCTCCTGCTCATCTGCACTCCCAGTAATCCTCTTGCCACGTGGAACTCGACTAGCCATCTCACTGCGCTTATCACGACATCGTGGGACAGTTTCACAAACATGTCCTTAATGTCGTAGCTTCTTGCTAGCACGTCTCCCCCCTTCTTACCCAAGTCGTTGCGTATCTCTTCCAGCCTCCCCCGTAGTACGTCGGTAGACTTCAAATCGAAGTGGTACCGTCTCCGAAAACCAATTAGCATATATCTAATTGCTCTTCCAACTCTTACTCCCGCTAGTCTCGCTGGATCATGCACCGCCGGGGAGATGGGACGCCATCTCTCCAAGTCCTTGTCTTTCGGTAAGACATAGGCCTGGCCGATCTTACCTCCCGTCCCCCACATTGCTTGATTCCAATCCCATCCTTTTGTAATCTGTCTTCATTCTTGCCAAAAGCACTGCCTCCGTCTCATCTATCTCGACAAAGCTATGATTCCAATTGAACGTCATCATGCACGCGTGGAGGTATAAGACTGGGCAGATTAGCAGAGTCGCGCCAGGATTGCGATCAATCGGTACTCTAACCAATCCAACCAACGTCTCAATCCAAGCAGATGCGTTGCGGCTGGTCATAGCTTGGTGGCTTCTCGTAGTATGTCCTGTCAGACATCTGAGCATGTCCATACGTGCAATCTTCACGGGTGATCTCCCGACCCAAGGTTTCAGAGCAGTCAAAATGCAATGCTGCAAATTCTCGACTGATAGTTCGTGCCCGACAGTGACGTTCTTCGAATTCTTGAAAAAAGTAGGAAAACACGATACCTCATCCAATCGTGTTTTGACGTGGCCACCCATCCGCGGCAGATCATACATTATGCAAGTACATTCACACTGACTAGCTTCGACACATGTCCACTGGTTGTGAAGAAGCGAACCAACGGTGGCCCTCTTCCTGAAGACAACCCGCACACGCTGTGCGACGAAGACCGCCAAATGGTGATCAGCAAGTGCACTGCGCAGAGATGCTGCTGCCAAATCACGGACACGCCTGCTGTTGATGTTCAAGGCAAAGGGCAACTTTACATACGGCTTCTTCCTAATTTCTACATCATACTTCCTCCGGACGATCCTGGCAATCACGTTCTTCAAATTGTTCCTGGTCTTGAGCTGGCTGAACAAACCAGCCGTCCTGTAGAGTGCGAGTAACTCATGCGACTTCCTCTTGTATATGATCTTGGTTCTCCATGGAAATCTCAGGAGATCGCGTAGAACGAAACGCCTGTGCTCGACACTAGAGGTAATCCCCTTGACCCTCTTAACTGTAAAGGTCCAACCCTTCTCCAAAGTCTCCCTTGCCTGTGAGATCTTCACAATTGACCCTCCGACCCTGATCACGCTCTCACCTAGCTTCATCTTCACGTTCTTCCATTTATCCAACCATATCTTTCTGCCGCTCGATACCAGGTTCTGCCCAGTTCTTACCTCTTTCAGAGTATCAATCAACGATACCCGACCATTGAAGAGGATCACACTATCCTGGTGCTGAAACGTACTCCTCTTCCCTCGTTCCCTTTTTCCCTTCCTTTTTTCTTTCGCCTCTTTTCAGCTCTGCCGTGTATGTTGAGTGTCGGGCCGTATCTCTGAATCAACGCCTTCTCCAAATTCCGCGGATCCGTTGAGCGCACGKCAATTGGAAGTGCCAAGTACTTCTCCCATCCGAACATCATCAACCACGCGTGAAGCTTCGGTGCATTCCTAAGTTTCCATCCGTGGCCCGTTTGACATGCTCACCCCAACGTATAGCTATCTTTCGAGTCGTACAACCTATGTACGTGTGTCTGCACCACGGGCTCACAAGTGCATACACACCTGGTTCGGAGATCGATAGCTGGCCATCTTCTGCTTCCACCCATCTAACCCACTTCTTTGCCCATGGAAAGCACCCTCGCAAAACTGCTAACAAGAACAATCTCAAAATTTTATCCTCATATGCGACATCTAGGCCCTGATGGAGGTTCTCGGACGCCTTACCTCTCTCCCTCATCAGTTTCTTGAGCTGCCGCTCACAATCCATCATGAATTGCTCACTTATCTCCCAGAGGAGATAGTCGTGCARCGTCTCCCTCGTATCCTAACCTCATCCTACATTTCACGAGCTCGCCGATCGCAGTCTCTCTCTTCGTCCATTCGATCCCCTCCGAATTGCACAGTGTTCTGAGCTCGGGAACCTTCTTTGCTGAAAACTTCCGGTGTAGCTCCAGCGCACAGTCCAGTATATTACCCGCGTCTCGGTTACCAGGTGGGGTACTCAGTTCATCAGCAGGATCCTCCACCAAAATAGGCACAGGCTTCGTTCCTCTCCTCACTACTTTAGTTGTCTCCAAATCGCCTTTGTCTTTCCTCTTCTTACCTCTTCTTTTCTCAATCGCATCAATCAGCCTTCCAGCCTCCTGCTTGACCTCTTCACTTTCATCCTCGGACTCCTCTAAGTAGCTAGTGATCTCTTTCAACACTCGAGCTTTAGTCGTAGGAGACTTCTTTTTCACCGGAACTGAAAACCCAGTGGGCGTCCTCGAATGCTGCGAGAGAAGCCGAATCAGTCTAGCTTCTAAACGAGCTTCTCTCGCATCCGCCTCTCTTAATCTGTCTGCTTCCTTCCTGTCCTCCTCCTCCTTTCTCTTTTCCTCAATCTCTTTCTCCCTCTTTTCTTCCTCTGCCTTTTGCTTCCGTACCTTTCTCCTGAAATACTCCTTCATTTCAGTCGTTTCTTCATTCTGCGGAGTCTGCGATGGAGCAGCCACTGGAGTATGTGAAGGATATGGAGGATTCGGCCTCCCGTTCCCAGCGCTCCAGCAATTCCTAGCATAGTGCCCGGCTTTCCCGCATACATAACAAGTAATGACTCCCGTGGTTGCTGTTGGCTGCACCAAATTCCCATACCCTTGCTGAGGCACTCCACTAAAGGGTACTGGATTCGCCATTTCTTCTTCTCCTCCTCCTATCTCTTATGATACAACCAATGATGTACACCCTTCCCAGAATATCTTCAAACACGGAATACACTACTTCCTTCCCTGATGCGTCTGGTAACTCTAGTGCTACTAATACGATAGGGGTAAGTTGATACTGTATTAACCTCTGCAGTTCCAGCCACTGTCTTTCTAATTCCGATTCTCTAAAATTATTTCCCGACATCCCCAAACTAGTTCAAGTCCTAATAGCTATGAATACACGAGCTTCGAAAATCCATACCGACCGTTCACGTAATTCACTGTTCGGAGCAAAGCGCCACCACATATCAAAAGCGTCAGTACTGCGCCAACCACGCGAAGTGCTACGTAACTAGGTGTCTTCCACCGTGTCATTCGAGATAAAGAAGAAAGGGAAAAGAAAAAGGGGGGAAAAAAGAAAAAAAGAAAAAGAAAAAGAAAAAAGGGCGGAGGAAGAAGGGGGAAGAAAGGAAGGAAGGGAAAACACGAGAAGGGAAAAGAAGATCGCGAGATAGAACGAGCAAAAAGCAGATCGAAGTCCACAGCGTAGTTGCCAAATCCACGCACTAGCCGTGGGTTCAACCACGTAAAAATGATGGAAAAAATGCAAAAAGTCGTACGTGCTATATCGAAGTACGCAAAATCTTCACGGAACCGCAGCTCTAGCCGTAGGCGCAAAATGATCACACTTACGCCGATAAGGCCTAAGAGCAGTGCCTGATGTCGCGATGACAATCGCTTACATCCACGAAGGTCGAGTGTACCGCCATGTATACAACCGTTGAATCACAAGACGCGAAGACAATCACGCTCCTCGTCACCAAACACTCAAACTGCACACGTTCGTACTGTCCGCCAGGTCTTGAGTAAAAAACCGCCGAACACCACCCTTGCTTCGGACATGCTTCGATCACCTCACCTCGAAGAAGGCGCACACACAGCGCCGTACGTAGCCACCGTACCCGTGTCTGAACACACCGGTTACCACGCTAAACGAGATGAAAGAAGAGACAAGAGCACAACTGAACGAGAAAGGAAAGAGTATGAACACTCAAAAAGGAAGGAATGAAACCCGAACAGAAAGGAAGGAAATATGAAATGAGCAGAGCGAAGACACCATAGGCGCAAAGACCAACGATACAAAAAAGCCGCATTCACCAAAAAAGTCACGAAAGATATCCAGGTAAGCACCGTAACCACGCATYGCCCCGACGCGTTTCGTCGCCTGCGTGAGAGCGAACTCATCAGGGGGCTTTCGTACACAAGTACTGTGGAACGTCCAAAACCCTCTGCTCCTTAAATACGACCGCGCGTGAACYSCCAAAGCTCGTATCTCCTACTTCCTAACTACTCGTGTGAGTMGAGCACTTGTGCTCCTTACACCAAGTTGTCTGTCCCCTTCATCCGTACGTGAAACTTCGTAATTCCTAACCTAGGTAATAACCATCCAACTACCTATATCGCAAAGACAGTAAACAACACAAACTAACAAAGGACATACCTGATTAACCGGTTGCGCATCTCAAAAATCGGAAATTTCTACAGTCCTTCAAAATAGCAAAGGTCATAGAACTGGGATCGTTCTTTCCTAATCGTAGTTACTGTCTGGATTGCCCAGAGTCGCCTCGATCTGAAGTGTCTCCGTCGTCCTGAGTAAACCAGATGCACAAAAATTCCGAGCCTAACCAGGTTACTGAGACGCGACCAGATACGGTCCCTATATCTTTTTTCTTTATTGTGCAATGTATCTTCCTAATAATGTACACAGGTGGTACCCGAAAGGGAAGACAAAAACGAATCCTTGCGTAGAGGTGGCTACTATTGTACGTGCAGAGTCGAAGTGACCAAACCAAAACGCCTATAAAAGATAAAATGACATACAGGTTGCCGCTCTAAAATAAAATAAAATAAGCTGACACACAGATTGCCGCCCTTCCTTTTCAAAAAACCTTACGAAATATCATCCGACTCAAAAATACTTCATCAGACCAGGGTACGCCTCGGAGAGGAGATCTCTCCAGGGACCGCCGGTCACTCTAGCAAATTTAGCTAGAGCATTGAGAGAGAGAGAGAGTCAATCAACTTCTTGGCAAACATTTCATTTTTATTGCGGGCATAGCCGCAACAGGTCCCCTAGTAAAAGATATAATAACGCCTAAATATCCATTACAAAAGCTGTCTTCTAGCCCTTCAGGATATATTTAGAGTTTAGGTGCTTTAGGATGAATTTTGAAATTTAACGCCACCTACCCTCCGGAGGGAGCACTCTGCCAAATCTCTTTTTTTTCCATGCTATGAACCTCTTTGTTCTTCATGAATGGATCTTGTGCGCAGTGGACACACACTGAGCAGCTGTTCCTTCAGTGCTGGGAACCGGTCCTTCTGGTCTGGTTGTTTGAACTTGTTTCCTTCTTTTCCCCCCGTTCAGCTTTTCCTTTTTTTTTCCCTTGGCCTCCTTTTTTTTTCTCCTTTCGTAACATGCTTGCACAGGGTTGTACTAATCTTCTCTGTACCAAGACATGTTCTGGCCAACGATTTGTTCCCAGTGTGCACATGTAACGACCTGCCAAAATACGGACTGAGAAAACACTTCAAAACAGCTGATTTCTGAGTTTTGCCGCTGGAATGAATGCCTTGCTGAGATTCCCGCTTTTTGACGAGTTTTCTAAGTCTGTGTGTGTGCATGCTAGCTGGTCTGCATGCCTGTCTGAGTGCTTGTCGGCTTGAGTGTTTGTGTGACCGGCAAGGGCACTTGTTTGCTTGGGAGGCCCAGCAGGGCCGGTACTTACCTGTCGCCGTGACTTTGGGGTTGCAGCAGGAAAAACACTCAAGTGGCCGACGGGGTAGCTTAGGGCACACTCAAGTAGTGGTATCGTAGGCCCGTAGGCACTCAAGTAGTAGGTAGGCCGTTACCGCTCCAAGTATGGGTAGATGTATCGGAAACTGGAGGCCGAGCAGAAGAAAACAAAAGTTGGCATTTTTAGAGGCCCAGTAGTTGTAGGCTAGGTCTAGGCGAGTACCAGTCCAAGTAGTCTGAGTCTAGGGCCTGTGCGGACAATATCAGAGCCTGCAATGATGTTTCCTTCCGAAAGGCAGGAGGTACCGGTAGCTGGGAGGCCATACGTGTTGCTTGGAGGCCGCACAGCACAGTCAAGCAACCGGCCGTGAGGCTGGTTGCTCGCTATACCTCCTGGCTGGGCGAGAGGCTCAGCCTCATTTTGCTGCGTGCAAGTTTGGCGACACACTGCTGGAGCGCTGGTTGGAGCAGCGCTGTGGGGAAGAAGGGCGCCCAGCTCCCCACCTTGGCTATGGTGGAGGAGCTCGGGTAGGTGGAGGAGGAAGAAGGGGACTAGCAGAAGGGAACGCCAGGGGTACTTACCTGGCTATGGTGGACGTCATCTTCATCACCTTGGTGGGTGCTGCATCTCAAAGGCCCATGTAGAGCGGCATCAAGAAGCTTCGAGGCAGAGTCAGCCATGACGGCCTGAGAGGAAGAGGCCATGGCTCCTTTCAGTTGTCTTTTGCACGTCATGGCAAGGCCCTTAGTAGTCCGCCATAGCCTAGGCCTGGATGAAGAAGGAGAGGAAGGCGGTTATGGCTATGGTGGACCTCTTGTTGTGCTGGCAGTAGAAGCGGGATGCGGACATTGATTCTGGTTCTGTCATTCATCATTATTACTATTTAATATTTATTGTTTGAATAAAAGGGGAGGAGACAAGGAGGAGGAGTTTGGTTGGCGAGAAGAAGGGGGATTATGATTGGTCTTTTGCTGGTGTACATCTTCTTCTTCTTCTTCTTCTTCTTCTTCATTCTTCTTCTTCTTTCTTCTTCTTTCTTCTTCTTTCTTCTTCTTCTTTCTCCTTCTTCTTCTTCTTCTTTCCCTCACTCTCCTCTCAAGTTCATCATTTCTTTTTGCAATTGGACAGCATTGTACTTCTCGTGATTTCGCACTTCGAAATTGGCCAGGATCGTAACACACATCTGAAAACTCGTGAAGCAAGGTGGCCCCCCGCAGATTCCTCACGAGGAGAGTGTCAGAGTAACGTCCCACCTATCCAAACATGCAGAAAAGGCAAAAATTTGTGTGAGCGAACGCTCCAGCAGTGCTGCCGCTTGCACTAGCGAGTGCCCGAATCCATGACTCACGGCCAGGCACTTTGCTATATGCAAAGTGGCCTGGCTCGACAGTAGCCTAGCCTGGCCTGGCGTGTGCCCAGTAGGTTCAGGTTGGACAGACAGCGGCCTGGGACCAAATTGGTTAGGCCTGCCCAACCACCCAGGCGTAAACGTGCGGAGCTCGCTGCTTCCCCTGCGTTGCAAGAAGAGCCTGTAAGGCTCACGAATGTTTCTGATTTCCATGGGCAGGAAGGATGTAACCAACTGGCGTGTGGCAACTGTGTGGCGCCGACCAAGGCTTTGCAATATTGACAAATTCAGGCCTGACTGAAGCTCAGGGCCCCGTCTTCACTTAGGGCAGGCACATCTTTGCCGTAGGGGCCACATGCAGGTCTGCCGAGGGCTTAGAATTCATTTTCAACGTGCAAATTGAAACAGTCGTGCAGCAAGTTGGCCCTCCATGAATTTCTCAAGATGCACGTGTCACAGAAACTTTCCGTCTATCACCAGAGGCACACTGGCGCTGTACCTTTCCTGATTCTTTCTCGATTTATTTGTGTCATCCTTGTACAGGGCCGTGCTAATCTTCTCCGTATGGAGACACGTTCTGGCGGACAAATTCACTCTCAACATGCACATCGAAGCAGTCATCCAGCAAGTATGGCCCCAGTGACTTTTGCTCTTGAATCGTGGGTGCCATTCCGATAATTTCTATTCCTTACTGTTTTTTTTTACTGGTCTCTTCGATTTTTTATTTTTTTTGTCTTCTCTGATCGCTCCTTCTCGTTTTCAAAACAGGCGACCATCTGCACCTCTGCCTAGGCTCTGCCCAGCCTCTGCCGGGCCAACCCAGGTCTCCCATGAATTCAGGAAGTGAATTTTTTTGGCCTGGGCGGGCTACTGGTGGTTTAAAAGTGCCTAAACATTTTTTGCAACAGCTGTCTCCTATTTCGGCTGTATTGAGGTTTCAGGGTTTAGGGTTTAGGGTGTACGGTTCAGGGTTTAGGGTTCAGGGCCCAGGGATCAAGATTTACAGTTTGGGGGGCAGGGTGAAGGGTTTACAGTTTAGGGTTCAGGCTTCAAGGTTTAGGAATCATGGTTTCCGGTTCAGGGGTTATGGTTTAGGGTTCGGGGTTCAGAGTTTAGGGCTTAGAGTTCAGGGTTGGTTCACAGTTTGGGGTTTAGGCTTGGTTCACGGTTTAGGTTTTAGGGTGTAGGGCTCACAGTTTAGGGTTTACTGTTTACGGTTGAGGGTTTAGGGTGTAGGGTTTAGGGTTTGAGGTTTAGGGTTTAGGATGAGATCACTGCTTATAGTTTCTAAAAGATGAAAGCACCAACTGTATAGCCTCTAAAGACTCTAAACATTATTTTGAACAGTTGACTCCTATTTCAAGTGTCTTGTAGGACAGGGCCAAAATTGTTTCTTTGAAGTTAAAGAAAGGGCAAATCGGCACAACTGTCTTTGCAGCAGCTGCCCTGTATTCCAGCTACTTCTCAACTTGAAGACAGCGAAAAGGATTTGATTGCCACTTACAGCATCTGGACAATTTAATAACACGTGCTGCAAGAAACTACATGGACATGAAGAGGGCCAGGTTCAAGACCGGTGGCAGGGCGGTTAGAGTTCCCAGTGCATTCTGCCAGCTGAGATCATGGAAAGAAGGTTTTTGATTAAGCCAGAGTTGCAGTGGATGCATCTGTGGCCAAAGCTGCAGAAATGTGGCCCCTGAAAACAGTCCAGCAAATCCAAACAGCAGCCTCCTTGTATGCCACTGCATCCTGGGGGGCGGGGGGCGCAAGAGAGAGATGTGACAGGTGAAAATAAGCAATTTCATGACGATCTTGGAATTTGAAACACAAGAATGGTCATCGCATCCTTCTCCCATTAAGCAACCAAGTACATCTGAGCGCCAGTATCACAAACGTTTTTTCTTTTTTACTTTTTTTTTTACACTCACGAACTTTCTAGCTCTACTGCATTTCATGGCTTACACCATCATGATCCTATTCGTGGAGAGGACCTATGTGCCCCCTGATGTGAAGGATATGATGTTTTTCCTTTTGGCTAACAATCCCCTCATTAATGATGCTTGGAAGTCAACAATGAAGAGGAGAACTTAATGAAGAAGCGCTAATTGGATGCCAGGATTAACAGGCCCACGAGGCGGGTTGCTCTAAGAGATTAAGATACCGATGCACACTATTTGCCATTTCATCACACTGGGTGTAGCGGGACTTTCATGTAGTCACGAGAGGGTTCAAACTTCAAAGAGATTCTGTTCCATGTTGCAAAAGTCCAAGCTAAGCGCATGTCAGAGAGGAAAGAAGTCTGCTGGAATGCATCCAAACCCTTGCATTTTCCACCACCACCTCCACCCCACAACCATCCACCCAGCCTCCTCTCCCTCCTTTCCTCCCATCCTGTTGTTTGACGGGTCATCAACAGTCCATGGCCCAATTGCCCATCGCTATTCTTTGGGTATGGCTCCAATGCATGCAGGAAACCGACTGATCATGCTTGCCTGCTTGTCTGCTTGCCTGCTTGCCTGCTTGTCTGCTTGCCTGCTTGCCTGCTTGCCTGCTTGCTTGTGATGTAGTCTCAGCCGGGTATTTTAACTTAACATTAGTGAATATAGGAACATACCGCAATAATCCACCAGCCATTGACCCTGCACACGGTTGCCCTGAATAGTGAATGTTGCTGATGGCAGTGAATACATAGTTATAACCCGAACAATGTGCCAGCCATTCACCCGGTTGACCTGGTGGTGCTTGTTGCTGACGAGATGGCAGTGGAGAAGTGTCTCGACTGATCTCGATGATTGTGCCAGTGGAATCAGAGTGGGTGAGAAAAGCACATACTGGTCGGACGTTGGAACTGATCAATGTGATGCGCGCGCTCTCAGGATTGACTGATTGCTGAGGGTCAGAATGTGGGTGGTGGTCCCCACTCTGGCCAAGCCATTGCCTTGTTCTGCCAGATCTCATTCTGTACAAGTCACAGAGATGATGGTGGATGATGAGGTGGGCCTCTGGCATGCAGTAGAAGCAAGGATAAAGTTGACGCAGAATTCGTCGTTGGAGGGCAATGCGGCAAGGCGCTGCCGTGCAGGACGAGCTACAGATCAGAGATGATGAAAAGAAAGAATTTGTTGGCAAAAGGGCGCACTCGTGCTAAGGTTTTACAGAACGGTATACAGAGTGGAAATTTCTGTTAAAATGGTCCTGGTGTGTGGATATGCCCTCAACAATGTTCAACCAGTCTTGCAGAGGCAGACTTGCCAGGCAGCGAGGTTACAGTTGTTTGTCGGAATGAGGCTCAAATTTTTCTTCCATACGTCATCCATCGCTAGCCAAGGGATGACAACAGCAGTCATAGCATGTGTATGCTTCACATGGGCAAGACAAGTGGCATCAAAGCTGTTCTTGAAGCTGTCGTCAAGGGATCTATAGCTGATCCCTGCGTTTCTGTGTGCCCTTGACTTCTGCTGGTACATTGCAAACAGGGCCTCCACTACGGCAGATCACACACATTGCAGGCATAAGTCAACTTCCAAAGGAGAAGACAAGATGAAGAGAGTACTTCTGAGTTTGGAAATCCTGAGGCAAGGTCCCACTTGCCCAGATTCTTCGTTTCGAGCCCTAGACTACAGAGATCAATGGCCAGAAATGGACCAACCCATTTGGGCAAATGGCACCTTGCTCCTGACGTTAGCCCAGTCTGGGGGTACCTGCCGAATGCAACACACAGGTGAAGGACTAGCGCCATGACATTGTAGATGTCCAAGCACATTCAAAGAGGCAGGCCCCACTACCGTCTTCCCCCGGTATATGCCTTGTGTTTGAGTTTTGGAAGGAAAAAAAAATGATCACTCGAATAGAACGCATGTGCGTTGTGTTCGAATATTCCATCTGTTCGAATAGAACGCATATGCGTCGTGCTCGAATACAAAGCAAGTTTAAGCAACCTATGCATTGTATTCGTCGCATATGACGTTATGATGGCCTGATTCACGCTTTCCAAGCATGAAGATGGCAACACCGGGGGCCTGCCACTGAGCTCTTACCGGGCTGCCCTGGGCTCTCTAACAGCATGGCTATTTCTCTTTGTTGGGTCCAAAAAAACGAAAACAACAAAATAATTTTTACCACTCACGTTTGTGTTGACATAGCAAGCAGCACCCCCACCACAAGGTTGCAGAGCTAAGAAAGCATGAACCTGGCTGCCTTGACCATCAGGTTCGTGCTTTGAAATAAACAGGGCACCAGCGGGGCCTCGTCCGGAGGCTGGTGTGACTGGTACGCAGGAATTTTTACTCCGGACCCGTTTTCCAGCAGCTGTAGCCTCATCACCAATAGATTGGAGCCATCATACGGGCAGCCCTCCATGTGGGTGGATCTCTCACCACCACCTGGATAGAGGCACGGCAGACTCTGTGCAGAGTGATGTTTGAAAAGAAAGAAAGAAAAGAAAAGGCCATACTCCACTAGTTCTATGCTCGAGGTAATATGACTGCGGTCATGAAACTGTCCAGATTCGTGCTACCTTGTTGACCAGCCAGCACAAACATAGGACCATCAGGCTAAGATAAGGGTCCCTTTAAATCTGTAAAAGTTTTAAAGACGTGAGTTGGGTTTTCTAGGATACATAGCGCCCATATGTGTTATGTTCACCCTTCAAAAGCATGAACCTAGCCGCTGTAAAATGGCGACATTCATGCTTTCTTGGGATGAACATAACACCAGTGCAGCCTGCCCCTAACTTCGAACACATCCCTGGCTGATTGAACCCGTTGTCGGAGTGGGAGAACTGTGCTTTCAGATGTGAGAGCGCGGTATAAGCAAGATTACCTGAAAAAAAAAAAAAAAAAAAAAGATTACCTGACCCAGTTCAGCATGCTTGTGCTGAAAGGAAGACCACCTCTTCAATAACACGTCCAGCAGAGTTCGTGGCTGCGATTCGTCACCGGACTCGATCCCAGGATCATCACCCGCAATGGCCCGCTCGAACTGCAGTAGACTCTTCGATCTGGGTCTTCTTTTCCTGACCCCACCTCTCCACCTCATCGCCTCTTCGTCATTAAGTTCCAAGCTTTCGAGAGTGGCCATTTTCTTGAACTTCTTCCTCCTCTTCTTCTTCTTCGCTTCCCCCCACGTTGTGCCCTCTTCACCTTCTGCTCTCAGCCAAGCAATGCGTACAATCCAGTCTGGAGCCAGCTTCTTCATTCTCAAAATCTGTCTAACAAGGGGCCCGCCTGCAATAATCGGATGGCTGTAGAGGACTCTTGAATCAGTGGAACCCAACAACGGGGTATCTCTCAAATTCACTCTGTTTAGGTTATGGAGTGATCCCAGCCGTTGATTCTCGTCGGGACTGACATTGACAGCAGCAGATGCAAGAGTGGCAGCTGTGTCCAACTCTGACTGCCATAGCCGTTCATCAACCCCAGCTTGCATCATGCGTGGCCCCCTTCCCTTCCCCGTAGATGCAGCTTTTTCCATGCCATCATCATCCAGCGCGTCCCACCGATCAACCCTTGGGAAATGCTCCTCATTCAACCCCATTTCGCTTGCTCCTCGTTGCTGGCTTGAGTCTGTGCTTGGCCGTCTTCCAGTGCTATGTGACTGCAGCTCGCTCCTGTGGTGTCTGTCCGGGGCAAGAAGGGTTTCAGACGAGGACCGTCCAGTTTCGGTTCCAGTTCCGTTTGCGGTGTCCCGCCCGTTCTCAGGAAGACAGGACCGAGCCAGGGCAAGAGCCGTTTCAGACAAGGACCATCTGGTTGCGGTTGCGGTTGCGGTTGCGGTTGCGGTGTCCCGCCCGTTCTCAGGAAGACGGGACCGAGCCAGGGCAAGAGCCGTTTCAGACAAGGACCGTCTGGTTCTGGTTGCGGTTGCGGTTGCGGTTGCGGTTGCAGTTGCAGTTGCGGTTGCGGTTGCGGTTGCGGTTGCGGTTGCGGTTGCGGTTGCGGTTTCTTGCCCGTTCTGAGGAAGATGGGACCGAGTGAGCACGGAATCGGAGTATAGATCGTGTTTGTGACTATTATAGGCTGTCAAACGATGAGGGTTTCTGCTGATGATCTTGCCAGTGTTAGTGAAGGCAAAGTCTGTGAGCATTTGGCGCTTATGGACCCAAGGTAGTCTGTCCTCATCAGCAGAGTCTGATGCAGAGACATTACCACCATCAGGACTTACGCCTGCCGTTGATGGTTTCGTCATCTCTGCTGATGCATGAGGCTTAGCTCTCATCAGATTGTGAAGAACCGAACTAGCATATTGTCGTTGCTGCGGTGGGGCTGACATGGGACGAGGGATTTCTCTCTCTGGTGGAGATTTGATTTGCGGCATCGCTGATGCTTCCTTCAACCTCTCTTTGGAGCCGTTATTCGGAACAGCTTCTTTGATGCCAGCAAACGAAAACTCCCTGGAAATATTTTGAGGAAACCCCTCCATTTCTCTCTCTCTCTCTCTCTCTCTCTCTCTCTCTCTCTCTCTCTCTCTCTCTCTCTCTCTCTCTCTCTCTCTCTCTCTCTCTCTCTC